ATATCCTACACCGCTTGGTTCCCTTTCGCGAAACACTTTTTCCCGCTCTTTCCCGGGGTAAAATTCAATCTTTTTCCCTCAGAGAAAGAAAGCAATTTCTTCACTTTTTATCTGTACGGGCGGGAGGCCGAGGCCAAGGAAAGCCGTGACCACCAGAGAGTCGAGCCCACCTTTCATCGGGCAGCTGGACCCGCGTGCGTTTGGTCGAGCCGCGAGACACACCAGAATTCGAAGGCGTGCCGGAGCACTTGGCGGAGCGCGCTTGCAGGTGGAGCGAACGCTCATTTCAAGCGGAATTTTCGCAGCATGATACGTTCGCGCCGGTTCGCCGCGAGGCCACGAGGCCGCGGGGCGCTCCTGCCACCGCTCAGCGAACATGAGTTCCCGAAGCGGTCCCCTCCCACGTCGACCGGGTGCAGCTCATTGCGCTCGCTGGCTGCCAGGCTAGAAGTACTGTCGGATTCAGCGACTATCGGCCAGCGTCATTTGGACCAGGCGATTATCTTGTTCACGATTACAACCAACATGCTACGATCAACGACCAACACGCCTCTAGTAGTTCCGTTCCTATTATTACTTGACTAAGCGCATTTGGGCAGAGAGTCTGAACATTCACTCCATTTGAATTTTAAGCGGGCCATCCCGCGATCTATAATATATATGACGTGTCAATTGAGCTTAGTGTCTCTGCCTATATGCGCCAGTCGGTCAGTAAACGGTAGCGACGGGAGGGAGATCACCAGTGACGATCTAAGGCTTCCATTGGCTGTCAATGACAGCCATTGATTCAACAGGGAAGGAAGTCGCTAGCTGCCACTGGCTGTCATTGATTGTCATTAACTGTCATTAACTGTCCTTGACAGTCAGTAGTGCCAGTTGGGTGCCAGTACCGAGGTGTCAGTGGCTGTCAATGGCTGTCATTGACCTACAGTGACATCAAGAACTCGATATGTGTGAGCGCAATTTCCAGTCAGGCGCCCAAGCGCGTGCTAATGAGGTCCGAGTCGCCTGTCGCGTTCTGGATTCAAGAGCGCACCACGACGTTGCTCCGTGACATTCATCGTCCCTCCACCATCCCAGCCACCCACTTTTTCTAAATTCACCGTGAACGGTGCCTTCGCCGCCGAAGCCGCCGCCCCAGTCTACTATCTGCTTATCTAGCCTGATGACCCTTCGCCCCGGTTGGCCCAGAGGGCGGTTAAGAGGTTACCCAATTCATCCAGGGTGCGTCGATCGTCATTGTCAGAGACTGTTCAAGACCCTCAAATGTATCTAGACTCTTCTCATGGTGCTACACCGCTCCGTAGGAAGTTGGCGCCGTGCTCGAAGTCCACGCGGAGTTGAAGGCAGCAGGCGCTCACGTTGACCAGGAAGGCCGTCGAGGCTATTCAAGCCAGAATGCGACATGCGTTCAATACCATAGTCAACCAAGCGCCCGATACTCGAAACCAATAGCGACGCCAGCGCGGATATCGACAACAGTTTCCCCGAAGCAGACGTGCACCGTGAAGCGTTTATCTACGCTATTCTCGCCCTCTTCTTTGCTGCGATAAACGGCGAAGCCCAGTTCCCCGCGAACAGCAGCGGTCAGGTCACACGTTACCCCAGGGCTAGCTTGGCTATGGCTACTAAGGCGACCACCGTGGTGGAAATGGAGGTTACCGGGAAGACGTGACCGCGGGCCAGGCATGGCGGGTGCTTTGCGAGCGGGGAAGGCATAAGACCTTGAAGGTGGATTTTCTTCTAGCCTGGCTGGCTTACGTCTATTCTACCGTGCTGACTTTGATGCTGGTTGTAGGGCTCTCGCGAATGGAGGTGTGAATCAGTGAGGTGTCAATGAGTAAATGATTGACCTTGGGTGAGTGCTGAAGACGCCTTTTACAACTTCTTGCGCTGATCGGTGTGCATAATTGCAGGACTCTTGCACATTCATGCGAATAAACATGCATCAGACTACAGCGTGTGTAGCCCAGTCTCGATAGCTCTGAATATCTGATCTTGTAATCTGTGCTTTTCATATAGACAGGAACGACCCATGCCCACAATCATCGCCCCCCATCATGAACCGTACCCACTCCACCCAACGTAATCATACTATACTCATGTATTCATGACCCGTACACCTGGTTCTACTGTACAAATAGGTCTTTTGTCCCGATGTAGTGCGCCTGTTCCTTCCAGCAATCATGCCCCACCCTGCCCGGGATGAACCGCCGCACGATCGCCTTGTGCGGTACTCGAGCTTGCACGCTCAAGGAGACTGGTTAGGTGAGACTACTGGTTATTAGTATTCGTTTGGACGCCCGCATAACTATACTGATTGCGTTCACATTTGTAATGATCGTACGATGGAGGTGCAAGTACCTCAAGTAGCATGGATGACAGAAGATGCCATCACGATTCGTATCTAAATACAAGAATTATCATATTCATTGCAGATCATTGGCAAAGCTAGCTTCAAGAGATTGTAGACGGATGGTACTCAAGACAAGGAACGACTCAGCCCGACTTCCACATCTGTCGCAGTGAAGTCATGAAAGCTGACGGAAACGTTGACGGCAAAGGTCTCCCATATAGTCCAGTCGCTCAGCGCACTGTCCACGACCAACGATTCTAAGCGCGATTCCTCAACATGCTTCTGTCGAGCATCGACTATGGCTTGAAGAGTCGCGAGGTTTCGGGCAAGCATGTTCACCGCTCCCGCTTCGTCCGATTCATCGTCGGGTTCGTCGAGGTGAACATGTATGACTTTGAGGTTGGGGAATGATGCGAAGACGGCGACCCCGCCCTTCGAAACAGTCTCGACAAGGGGCAGCAACTTCGCGCAATCGCCGAAGTAGACGTCAAGGCAGTGGACGTCCACGGCTTCTCCCATCGCGCGCCACCAGGTCTTGCTTTCGAGATAGGCCCCTACATCCCATGTGTTGAGTGACACGCGGTGGAGCCTGTGAAGAGGGACTGGCACGACTCCCTCGTACAAGAATGATGCGTCATCGATAGCGACAAGGTCGAAGTCAAAGTTCAGAAGAGAACGCGCTTCGGGTGTAGCCGCGTACATGTGCCTCGTTGCAGGGTTGGACCAAGCGCGCAGCGGCGATGTCTCGTGGGTCTCGGAATGAAGAGTGAGAATTGTCTTGCGGTCAAGGACGATTTGTTTCGGTGGACTTTGCTGCTGCCGGAAGATATTGTGAAGAGCCGAACGTATTAGAGATGGGATATCGTTCGCGACGGTAGCAGCATGCACGGTGCCATCGTCCGCATCGCCCTGCAGGTCATCGAGAGAAATCTCCATGTGCACATTAGGACGCTGAAGCACAATGTTCCCCAAGAAGATCAGGCAGTCACGGTGTTGATCATGAGCGTCAAGCCAATTGGAGACGTCTAACGAGCGCAATGCTGGCGACATCAGCATCGACGGGTATGGAAAGGCGGGGCCTTGGAGATGGATTCCGTGGATGGAGAGAGACTGGAGCGCAGTGGTGGAGGCCAAGAGATGAGAGAACTCCAGTGTCGAGGGCATGAGGTGGCGAACTTCCGGCTCCCCAGTATACCACAACGAGAGGTCAATGAGACGGGGTCCAAACATGGGTACATCCCAGCGCGACGGAAGACAATTGTGGAGGTCCACGTGCTCCATATATGGGCTCGACGTGAGTGCGATGGGGAGTAGCACGGGGACACTATCCTTGGCGAGGACTACGCTGACGACCAGCTGGCGTAGATGCCCGAAGGGCGCGATGCGGAAGTAACCGTGATCCAATAAGCCAAAGTTGGCGACGGAGAAATCCAGCACTTGAAGCGTCGCGATAGGAATGGATGCCGCAGGCAGCAGGACCTTACAGCCGACCTGTCTGAGACGACGAAGGCTGGACTCCGTAAGTTCCAAGTGGAAAGGAACATCCCGGGCCCTCTCTCGGATCAAGCGTGATAGCACAGGCGGAAGCGCGAAGTAATCGCTCGGGTCTGTCCAAAGTTGCGGGGCACCCAAAGCGACCTGGTAATAACCGTGCACTCATCAGTACGACGCAGACCTGGAACTGAAGCACGGAGTGCACCTCTCTCCAAAGAGAACAAATGTGTGATAGAACAACCCAGCCTAGTTTCACATTGTACTTGGCACCCAACGCCCCCGTCGCCTGATTCTCGCCGCCAGAAGAGTCGTGCTGAGCCGCGGCGTGGAAAGTAGGCCATCCAAAGTCGTCCTTAGCGAGGGAGATGATATGACAGATGATCTCGGGAGGAAAACGGCATAGAAGGGAGTAGTTATTTCGGGCGCGCTTGAGGGGTGCGAGAAGAGGAGAATCAGGTCTGAGTCCCAAATCCTCGATGACCATATCCAGTGCTTCCAGGCCTGAAGCGGAGCCGCCCATGTTTTCCGGCGAAAACAGGCGGCACACAGACGCGGGGGGTCTATGATATATCATCAGCGTGTGTCATGGATATGATAGTAGCATGAACACTTGCATCAATTGCACCTGCCATTCATCAACCGCAGAAGACATCGTTTTCTTCTGAGCGAGGTATGCCAGCAAGGTATAGGGAAGTGCAGATCTTGACAGCATGCGCCTTTATACTCACCACATGTGTCTCAACGGACACTGGATGTAGCCAAATGTTCCTGAAGGCACCTCCCTTGTTCACTCATCTAGCGGGTTGAAGGTTGAGCGTGGATACCACCATACCATCAGGATCGCCAGATGGCAGTGCACGTTTGACGTGCAAGCGCGCCCTGTCGACCATGAAGGGGGCTATACGTTTCCGGGAGCCTAGCGGTGGGCCCTGATGACAGGGGACTTATGCCCAGTCCGGCAACGCCAGATGATCGAGGACGTAGTTTGACTGGTATCCGTTCGTGAGATAGACATGACAGCATACTAGCCCGTGGTACGAAGAAGGTGAGGTTGAGACGGCCGGCTCTAATCCTTGGAGAGGTGGAGACAATCGGGTGATCTGCAACGTATGTACAACGGCTTGCTGCGCTCGATGTGACTTCCGCACGATAGAACCTAGATACGTACTGCATGTAGCCAGTGCGCCGGGACTCAATTGAGTGGGTGTGATTTCAGTGAGGGCACTGAATAAACGTACCGCTCAGTGACTCATCCAGTGCACAGCCAGAGGGGAATAGGGTATCGGAAGACCCGACCGAGCGAGAGATGTGAGGGTGAGCGGTTGACGACTGACCGGAGAAGCGCTGTGCGCAACCAGTGGCAGCGCTTGGTCACGGCCGCGTCGCCACCTGTCGTCACGACACAATTGACCCCATGAAGTCAGGACGTAAAGCATGGAACGTGCCGCGGTCCTACCAGAGCCTCACGGGGATCGCCCGACTCATGAACTCGAGGATCGTACGAGATGTATTCACATGTTGCGCAATGTTCAGAGCGGAGTTATGCAAGTAAAACAATGACATTCAAAGATAGGTAATTGAATTTCAACGGGCGCATTCCGTCTCAGTGTGCAAAAGTAGCGCATGCTACTCCAGAGATTCAAACCTCGGAACCTCGGACTCCAGCAACGTCGCTCTCAAGGAAGCGAACCTTCCGATAGGATGTGCTGTCTACAATGGGGGTATGACAAGTTGAGCGCGCGAGGTCGAGGGCTCGAGATGTGAACTGATGAACCATTGGGATGCAGATTTTGGCGCCCTGAGAATACCGAATGCTGGATGTATACCTGACACTATAGACTCGATGAGGTTTTGGCAGAATGGACACAAGTAAGCGAACGTACTGTCCATTGAGGTGTATTGAGCCGGCTCGATTGAGTGCTTCAGATAGATGATGCACAATCAACGCGGCGCCCTCAACCGCAGTGCGTGGCGCGAGGAGAAATCAACTCTCTATCTGGTCGTGGTGTAGCGCAAGCTCCGGTATATTGCGTAGTCAAGGTGTGCATTGTGCGATGGTACTAGGCCACATGTCGTTAGAAGTAGTCGGTCGTGACCAAGATGTTGAATCAGCGCAAGCACGATTGAGATAGTAGACGGCGAAGAGATTGGCGACGCAGTGGGTCACGGCCAGAGACGAGGATGAAGAATGTACGCGCGACGGTGGTTGACGTTGAAGACCAGCTGTCGAACCCTGAGGGCCGCTCCGGATCAAAAGCGGGCAACAGCCTGGCAAACAGGCCACACGCGACGTCACAATGCCACTCCCCGCGCTGATCGAGCTCGTCGGCACTGTCGGGACCATCGAAAGCCCCCGCTCGACTAGTCGACCCTTCTGTACTCTCCTGGAAACGCTGGAAGGCAATGCGACGCGGGGCGGGTGGTAGGCGCAGGGCGAGAGTTCCACGTTGCGACCGGCCACGAGTCCACTGAGGCGCGAAACCTTAGACGGAAGTTACGAGAATTCTAGCGTATTCGCTAGCGCTGAGAAGACGTCGAACATGGTCGTGTCAGTGTTCGGTTCCCGATGCGTGGAGAAGGCAGCTAATGCGGCCCGACGGGCATCGTTCTTTCCCATCGCGATATCGGCGATGCCCGACGCAGGATGAGATCCCTATTACTCTCGTAGACCTCACCGTACGCGTCCATGAGCCCTCTAGACCACGATATTTACTTGAATGTGTACGGTTTCACTCTGGCATCCCGTATGAGGGAATATGAGCTGGACTCGAAAAAACGGACAGCTGCTTCGCCGTGGCCGGTCGTCGGAGGCTTTGCGGACGTCTCAACCGAGGAGATATCGGAACGCAGAGCTGACGGACATCCGCTCCTTGATACCGCGATCGTTCAAGGCAATGTCGTGTGCAATCACTGGTGGAAAGCACAGGGACCTGCTAAGGAGGGGCAATATTTTTGCGTCGGCTGGCTTCGTAGCTCGGACTGCAAGGCTGGTAGGGATCCAAAACTAGATAAACTCGACTGCGGTTTTCGTTTCGATGCCGGCCAGGTTGAGAGAAGTACGTCGTGATAGCCTCATCATCGAAACAGATCAGTCAGAACTCACAATGCTGCAGGGGAGCCTATGTATCTGAACGCAACCTGGGATAGGAAAAGTACCTGGGGTCTGCATTATGCTGGCATGACACAGCAGCAGCTCGACTCGCGCGCCGCATACTACCGCGGGACCACGAGCACAAACCCTGCATGGGACATTATACGGTCCCTTCGATCGGCCCGTAAGTTCTCCATCTCCATATACGGCCCTTGACTTTGTCGATCTGACAATAGCTGTAGCGATCATACTCGAAGACTATGGCGAGTTCACTTCTAAGCACGGTGCCACAGGAGTCCTGATCTTCATCACCAGCTCACCTGAAGGAGATAACCGCGCCGCAGGAGTTGATCGCATGGGGTGTTTCGGGGATATTGATGGGCAGCGGGACGCGACCGGCCTCTGACTTGCGAACACGCGTCCTACCGGGGCCCCTACAGACGCCTCCACCCTCGCCCGAGAAGAAGCGTAAAGTGGATAGCGATGAGTCCGCTGGGCCTTCGAGCCTCCGTGATCGTCGATAGGATGCGAGTGCGTACTATCTTTAGTGGAAAATGCTTGTGTACTGAAGGGTGCGAAGGTAATCCCGGTACAATCGCTGTATCAGTAATGCTACCATGGATGTTCATTGTCTTACTCCCCTATTCTCTCGTCCGCACCCATCGCCTCGTTTTCTCACTCGCTACCTTCTCTTACACTTCCTTCGTCTTTGTCTTGCCGTATCTTTTGTATCTGTTCTTGTATACTGATGATATCTCTCCTGAAGGCGCAAAGAGTCCTAGGCTGTTCGTCCTAGGCTGTTCGTAGAGTTCTCGAACACAACCTCCCGAGTCCCAACCCCGCGATATCTCGTTGACGAATAGCCTGGCGGATGAAGTAGAACTGAGTATGTATTGACTACGTTTCTGAGCACAGCGTCCAGCTTGTTGTAGCGCAGCGCGGTGTGAGGAACGAGGGCCGCTTGCGCGGAGGCAAGATGAAGTGAGACTCGGGCGTCTAGGCGTCCAGTGCCAGAGCTCGGCCATCAAAGAAGCGTAGCCTGCTAGCATGAGGCAGATCCACGCGCTTCGGAAAACGCCGCGGCCTCTCTTTCCGCGACCTCGACCTCCTCTCGGTCGCGTTTGCTCGCTCTTTCGTCCCGCCTACATCCCTCGCTCTTCAGTCAACACACAGCGCTACGTGTTGGGGCTTCTCTCCAGGCTCCTGCTTTTGTTTCCGGTCTCCCGCCTGGAGGTTCGCCCGTGCGTAGCGGCTCGCGTCTCGTACGGCTTCGCGCCAGCCTCTCGCACCTTTCGCGCAGGCTCGGCGACGCGTCTAGCGCATGTCTCACGTGACCGCGTTCAGCGCAGCCGTTTCGGGCTCCGCTCTCCTTACAGCGTCTACTGACGCTGCAGAAGGAGTACTTTACGTCTGTAGATATCCTCCTCAAACTCACGGGGGACGGCGGGCGGGACCTGTCCCCAACCCGGATATTTTGAGAACACACACGAGGCTGGGCACGAGAAGATGCCAACACCCGTGTCGAAACGGCCCGCATCTTGCTACCGGCAGTGGTTGTTATTGATGGTCATTGAACGAGACGTCTATGTACATCGAAGTCATGATGTCATCGAGGAGTAACAAGTAAGAAGGCTACTATATGTAGTGTCGAAGTGGTATGTAGGTTTTGCTGGATCTACGGTAAACCGATACTTAAGATGAGAACAATGATGGTGAAGCGCTGCAATAGGGAGAATAGAATTGGCAGAAGCTGACCGGAACATGGACCGCAACGGTGTCCCATGCTGTCCACCCGCTCAACGCGCTATCGACGACCAGCGATTCTAAACGCGTTTCTTCACTATGCTCTCTCCGCACACGGGCTATGGTCCGAATGACCGTGAGGATTCGCGTGCACTCCGCGTTCGCTTCGTCTAATACCGCACCGTCTTCGTCGATGAAGATTTCCTCGAGGTGGACGTGTATGACCTTGAGGCGGGGGAACATCGTGAAGACGGTGGCGCCGTCCTGGGACACGGTTCCGGCGAGCGGCAGCAACAACACGCAGTCACTGAAGTAGAGACTAATGCGGTGGACGTCTGCGGCCTGCCTCATCGCGCGCCACCAACTGTCCCGTGCGAGATAAGTCTCCGCTCCGGAGGAATCGAGGGACACGGAACGAAGATCGTGGAGAGAAAATGGTATGGAGCCACCGTCAAAGAGGAACGTGTCGTCGATAGACACGACATCGAGGTTGAAGTTGAGAAGAGAGTTCGCGCCTGGTATGTCCATGTACATGCACTGCATCGTAGAGATGGGCCAAGCCAGTTTCTCCGAACATTCAATCTCGGAGTCGTGCGTGAGGAACGACTTGTATCCGAGGATGAGGTGCTTGGGAGGGTTCAGTTGTTGCCGGTAGATATTGTGTAGCGCTGAACGAGTGAGGGATAGCATCTTCTTCGCGGTGCTCGGGTCGTACGCGATACTGCCGTCCGTATGATCGCCACCGTGAAGTCCAAGAGAAACCTCCATGCGTATCCCACGATGCTGGAAGATGAGTTTCTCAAGTAATGCCAGAGAATCGCGATGCTGCGTAGCATTACGCCAGCTGAAGACATCCATCGAGCACAAATCCGACGGTAGTGTGATCGACGGAGACGGAACGGGGGGGTCTTGAAGGTGAATACCATCGATGGCAAGAACCTTGAGCGCAGCGGTGGATAAGATACGGGCGAATTCCAGCGTCGAGGGCATAAGATGGGGAATCTCCGGCCTTCCGACGTACGAGAGTGACAGATGGGTGAGACGGGGTCCGAACAAGGGGATATCCCAGCGCGAAGGAAGACAATTGTTGAGACTGAGGTGGGTCATGGAAGAGCACGATAAGAACGCGGTGGGAAGTAGCGCCGGCTCTTCGCCCTCGTCGAGGAATATGCTGACGGTAAGCCGATGAAGATGTTGAAACGAGTCGACGGGAAGGTACTCGTGCATAACGAAGGCGAAATCCTTGGCGGTGAAAGAGAGGAACCGTAGCACCTCGATGGGTACGTCGCGCCGGGGCATTTGAACTGTCTCGGTCGTCATGCCGAGACGATAGAGACTGATCGCCGAGAGCTCCAGATGAAATGGGAGCTTTCGCGCCCTCTCGAGGATCAGGCGCAAGAGGACAGGAGGGAGCGCAAAGTAATCGCTCGGGTCCGTCCAAAGATGAGCTGAGCCTATAGCGACCTAACATTGATGATGAACTGATCAGTTCGACATAAACCTCGAATTGAGCGGAGTACACACCTCTCTCCAACGGGAGCATACGTGCGTGAGTACAAGCCAACCGAGTTTTGAGCTGGTTGTTGCACCCAGCTCCCCCGTTGCATCGTCTCCATTGCCGACTGGCTCGCTCTGGATTCTTGGCCATCCGTAGTCGACCTTAGCGAAGGAGATGATATGGCAGATTATCTCTGCAGGGATGCGACACAGAGAGCTGGGGTTGTTTCGGACGCGCTTGATCTGAGCGAGAAGGGAAGGTACAGCTGCCTCCAGCTGCATTACAACTGCGTCGAGTGCGAGCAGACGCTCAGAGGAGTGGTCCATGTTATCCGGCGCGAGCAAGCGGCGAACAGACTCGGGAGGACTGGTACGCGCAATGAGGACGCTTATTGGATAGGGAGGGATTAAGGAAGACTCACACCAACCGCCATTCGTCGGCTGAGGGCATGGCGTTCTTGTGAGCGGACTGTAGCGAAGTGTACAATGTAACAGAACGCGCCTTTATATATGCACGACGTGTGCCTAACCAAATACTGCACTAGTCTCCTCTGTGCAGCCTTCCTGTTCCTGAGGTCACCTCCCGTCTTCACCGATCTGGGACGCCGCAGATCACGCATGAATGCCACCCGGACCATTGAATGGCGGTGCGGATTGAGGAGCAAGCGTGCCCTGTCGCCATGAAGGGGGCCGTACGTTAGCGTAGGGTTACAATTCCCGGCGCTATTCCTCCTTTGGTATAACTAAATGATGAAGTAGCTGTCCATTTCTGGTACCGTACGCTCGTCCGCGGTCTGATGAAGGTAAACCTGAGAAGTCAACCATCTCGCGGGCAAGCGATCGCACACCACCACTGACATTTGAGATGGTGACGAGCCAGTCAGCAGCCAGTAACAATGTGCATGGCGTCTGCGTACAGAGAAAGCCCGAGTGGGTGAGAGGAGCTCTGAGTGTCGAAGGGGTCGAAAGGCGACGATGATGAATTGAGGCAAGACACATCGGCGTGTGATGCGTCGCTGGTCGCTAACCCTAACCCCCCTAGCCCCAATTAGCCAACCTCGCGCCTTCAACCTCCCCCACATTCCTACAAACGCAGGCGGCACATTTGATGGAGTAATTCCGTATAGAGTTCCAATCTAAGCAATCACAAACTGCTACCGCTCGTTGGACTAGGTCTGTACAGCAGGAAACGCGGTCCCGTGACCTTGCCGCCGACGTGCCTCCTGCGAAGCGCCTCTTTCGGGCAGTTTTGCGCATAAGGGTAGCTCGTGGATCAGGCAATAGAGCTACTCGCTGAAGACGTAGCAGAATAAATTACAGACAGTACAGTACAGAGAGTGTAAGTTGACTAATCAATGCCGACGCTGTTAAGGGGTTAAGGTGATAGAGGACGAGGAGCGAAGGGTGAGGAACGGGAGGCGGAGAACAGAGAGGAAGGTGACAGGATAGGACGGGGAAGAGGATTGTAACAAGAGTATCATTTCTATTCAAAGCTCCAGATACGTAGTCTCAATGGTGAGATGCGCGTCATCTGTCATCAATGGTAGATGCAGAACATGTGGAAGTTACGAAGGGGGCATATCCGAAGGGCTTCGAGGAAGAGCATGAAAATCGCAGAAGCGTATCGGAACATCGACGGCAATAGTCTCCCATATCTTCCACCTACTCAACACGCTGTCAACGACCAGCGATTCCAATTGCGACTGGGCGCTGTGCTTCCTCCTGGCGTGAACTAGAGTGTGAATTACCGCAAGATTTTGCGCGCACTCTGTATCCCCTTCGTCTAAGTCCGCGCCGCCCTTAGCGATGGAGAGCCCTTCGAGGTGAATGTGTAAGACCTTGAGGCGGGGGAACGTCGTGAAAACGGTAGCTTCGTTCACCACTACGGTTTCGGTGAGAGGCAGCAACATCTGGCAATTACGGAAGTAGATGCCAAGGCGATGGACATATGTAGCCTTCCTCATCGCACGCCACCAACTTCCGCTGCTGAGATAACTGTCGGCTCCCGATGAATTGAGAGACACGGAACGGAGATCGCGGAGCGGGACGGGATCAAGGCCACTGTCCACGAACGATGCGTCGTCGATAGATTCGAGGCCAAAGTTGAAGTTCAGAAGGGAGGTGACGCCAGGGATATCCGTGTACAGGTACTGCATTACTCTGGTGGGCCAAGCGCGCTTCGCCGAACGTTCAGTTTCGGAGTCATGTGTGAGGAGGGCCTTGCGGCAGAGGACGAGGTGTTTGGGCGGGCTCTGCTGCTGCCGGTAGAGGTTATCAAGTGCCACGCGGATGAGAGATAGCGTCTCCTTCGCTGCGCGCGGGTCAAGTGCTGTGTTGCTGCCAGCAATATCGCCGTCTGGCGGTCCGAGGGAAAAGTTCATGCGTATGTCTTGACGCTTCAAGACGATGTTCGCCAAGAAGATCAGGAAATCGCGATGCTGCACAGAATCGCGCCAACTGTACACATCTATTGAACCCAAGTCGGACGGTAGTATCATTGCCGGATACTGTATAGGGGAGCCTTGGAGGTGAATGCCATCGATCGCGAGGACCTGGAGCGCAGTGGCGGAGGTCAAGATGCGGGAGAACTCCAGTGTTGAGGGCATAAGGTGGGGAACCTCCGGCACCCCACCGTACGTAAGCGTGAGATGGGTGAGACGGGGTCCAAACATAGGAGCGTCCCAGCGCGGAGGAAAGCAATTGCTAAGGCGCAGTTGTGTTATGGATGTGCACGAAGAGAGTGCGGCGGGGAGTAGTACGGGGAGTTCGTCTCCTTTGAGGGATATGCCGACCGTTAGATGATGAAGATGCTGAAATGAGCCGGGGAGAAAGTAGTCGTGCGCCAGATAATTGAAGACGCCGACGGAGAAGCCCAAAAGCCGTAGTACCGCAATAGGGATGCCCCGCCCTGGAGGGAAGATTTTCCTGCCAGAGATGGTGAGGAGCCGGAGGCTGGACGCCGAAAGCTCCAGATGACAAGGGACCTCTTGCGCTCTCGCGAGGATCAGGCGGCACAGAGCAGGCGGGATCGCGAAGTAATCGCTCGGGTCCGTCCAAAGGAGGGGTGTGCCTAGTGCGACCTGACATCGATGGTGCACGCATTAGACCGAGGCAGACCATAACTTGAGTGTAACCCATACCTCTCTCCAACGGGAACATATGTGCGTAAGCACGAGCCAACCCAGTCTCGGGGTGTGTTCTGCGCCCGACGCCTCCATCGCCTCATCTCCGTTGCCAAGGGTGCCGAGTCGAGCCACGTCAAGCTTTGGCCACCCGTAGTCGACCTTTGCAAAGGAGATGATACGACAGATTATCTCTGGAGGGATGCGGCACAGGAACGTAGAGTTGTTTCGGGCGCGCTGGATGCGAGTGAGAAAGGGGGCCATAGCCAGAAATAGCTGGTCTTCAATGGTATCGAGTGCCTCCAGATGCGCGGCGGAGTGGTCCATATTATCCGGCGCGACCAGGCGGGGCATAGAGTCGGGAGGACTATTACCTATCGTCAGTACGTTCGTTGTATAAGAGAGAACTATCGAATACTCACATTATCCGCCACCCGTTAGCTGAGGACATGGTGTTCTTGTGAGTGGATTGTAGGGGAGTGTGGAATTTAACAACACGCGCCTTTATATCTTCTACATGCGCGCCACCAGCCATTGCACTGGCCCTTCGTGTTTATCCTTCCTGTTCCTCAGATCTTCTCCCTCATGTACCAGTCCAGGACACGTAGAGTAAGCGGGAGGAGCATCGAAACCGTCGCATGGCAGTGCACGACTGGCATGCCCTGTCAGCCATGAAGCGGGCCATACGTATCCGCCAAACGACGGGTAATGGTGACCGTGAAGTATTCCCGCTTGGCGTTGCTGGACGACGGAGAAGTGCCCCTTTCAGATTCATCATATCGCACATGAACCGATGAAGACGGACCTGGGAAGTAAAACGTCCCGCAGGATGAGCGGCACGCTGTCGCTGCCTTGACCGATATGCGGTAGCATCAATGCGACTGTCGCAAGTACAGGAGAGATCCGTGCCAAGCCAGATAGCTTCTGGGTATTGCCGTGAGCGCGTGGTATATTGGCTACATATGTACGAGAGGCGATGGTGGCAAGTTGAAGCAAGGTGCAACGACGTGTGACGCGTCGTCGTCGGCCTACCCAAGCCTTAACCCTAGTCATGTCCTCGCGCCTCGATCATCTCCCTTCACAACCTACTCAAGCACATGAGCTCCAGTCACTGTACGCAATCCGGGGCGTTCTACTCGCTATACAAGCATGTGGGTATGACACCCACCACCTGATCAGTACTCTCGGTCCCGAGCTTGAGGATAGAATCATGAAGACGCGGTCTCATGACCTTGCACCAGTCGCGTCGCGCCGCTACGCGAGAAGATGAGCCGATGAGCCTGGTATGGTCCACGGCACGTCCCCTTCAGCTTACTAAGTATACGTGGCAGTAAACTCGAGTCCGACCGTCTGAATGTGACACGCGCGGTATCTTTTCCGCGTCGTTCTCGGCCGTCGCAACCGTATCACTTTTTACTGAACATTTGACTGGTAGTCGTCGCGTGAAGAACTGCGGTTTCCACTTCTGTACAATCATCCTCTGCGAGTGACTCTCGAAGACAGCCACTGACTGATGGCAACGGTCACTGGTGGTCGGCAGGACAACTTCAACAATAAGCTGGCATTTAAGGACTTGAGGATATAGTAGGAACATAAAGTGGGAGAAATACAAGGCAGCCAGCGTAACTCGAGGCTGAGCTCCTCAATCATCGAGATGATGCGAGTTAAAACGATAGAAGGTAACCGGGACTTGAAGACTGCTCCATATCGTCCACCCTCTCAACGCGCTGTCGACGACCAGCGATTCCAAACGCGACTCCGTGCTCTGCTCCCTCCTGACGCGGACTATAGCCTGGATCGCCGCGAGCATTCGCGCGCTCTCCACATTCGTTTCGTCCAATACAGGGCCGCCGTCAGCGTGAACAAGCGCCTTGAGGTGAATGTGCATGAGCTTGAGACGAGGAAACACCGTGAAGACAGCGGCACCATCCTTCAACACGGTCTCGACGAGAGGCAGCAACTTTGCGCAATCGCCGAAGTAGACAGCAATGCTATGCACGTCCACGGCGTCCCTCATCGCGCGCCACCAAGCGCCGCTCTCCATGTGGGTCCATGCTCCCGGTGAATTTAGAGACACGGTGCGGAGACCATGAAAAGGGACGGGCGCAACGTCTCCGTACAAGCGGGACATGTCGGTGATAGAAGCGAGATCAAATTCGAAGTTCAGGAGAGACTTCTCTTCGGGTATATCCATATACATGTATTGCATGACGGAGATGGGCCAAGCGCGTTGAGGGGATTGGTCGGTCTCGGAGTCGTGTGTAAGGAACAGCTTGTGCCCGAAGATGATGTGCTTGGGCGGTCCTATCTGCTGTCGGTAGAGATTCTGGATGGCTGAGCGGAGGAGGGATGGGATATCCTTTGCAATGTCGGTATCGTACAAGACGCTCGTAACACCGCCCATATCTCCGAGAGAGACCTCCATGCGCACGTTAGGACGTTGGAAAACGACGTTCTCGAGAAAGATCAAAGAATCGCGGTGTTGAGCCGTTTCGCGCCAACTGACAACATCCATCGTGCGCAACTCCGGCGACAACCTCATCGGAGGGTAGGGAAAGGATGGACCTTGGAGGTGGATGCCATCGATAGTGAAGGACTTGAGCGCAGTTGCAGCGGCCAGTATACGGGAGAACTCCAGAGTTGTAGGCATAAGATGGGGTACCTCGGGCTCCCCCGTGTACGAGAGTGAGAGGTGGGTGAGATGGGGACCAAACATAGAGGCATCCCAGCGTGAGGGTAAACAATTGTGGAGATCCACGTGAGTCATAGACGAGCTCGCTGTGAGTGCTGCTGGGAGTGACACTGGGGTCTCGTCCTCGCCGAGAAGCACGCTGATATCCAATACACGGAGATGTCGGAAACAACCAACAGTACAGAAGTAGCCGCGCTCGAAGAAGCAGAAGTTGCCGACTGAAAAAAACAACAGGTGTAGCTCCGCAATAGGAATGTTCCGCGCGGGCAAAACGATCTTATGGCCGGAGCGTCTCAGGTGACGGAGACTGGATGCTGAAAGTTCCAGGCGGAAGGGAAGATTCCGCGCCCTCTCGCGGATTAGCCGCGATAAGAGAGGCGGGAGCGCGAAATAGTCGCTCGGATCGTTCCAGAGATGAGGCGCGCCTAGAGCGACCTGAAGGGATAGGTAATCTTCAGTTTGGTGCAGTCCTTGAAGTGTAACCGACATCTTTCGCACCTGTCTCCAAAGGGAACTGATGTGTGTAAGGACAATCCACCCCAAGCTCCCGCCATTCTTGATCAACGGCGCCTCCTCCTCCTCGTCCGAGTCAGGGGAGACACCCCGAGCAGCGTTAAGCGTGGGCCACCCAAAGTCAATCTTGGCGAGCGAGATGATGTGGCAGATGATCTCTGGAGGGAAGCGGCAGAGAAAAGATTGGTTGTTTCGGAGCCGCTTGAGTCCTGCAAGAGCAGAAGGCAGAGCCTTTTCCAACTGTCCTATGAACGCATCGAGTGCCACCAGGCGCGCATCGGGGTACTGACCAACGTTGGCCGGCGTGTATTGGCGAAGCACAGATTCGGGAGGCCTGTTATGCACTATCAGTGCATGAGTTGTATGGTTCGTGAAGAGGAGTACTCACACCAGCTCCCATTCGGTGGATGGTGACATATCACTGCTATGAAGAGGTATAAGAGGACGACTTGATGCCTTTATATCTGGCACTCTCATCCATACGTAGACTGCGCCAGACCTGCTGGCCCGAGCGGTTCCTGAATGTAAAAGTTGTCCACGAATCTGATGAGACACTATATGTCGAACGTAGAAGCTATCAGAGCCATCGGAATGCTGTGAGAGTTTGAGGAACAAGCGTGTAAGCATTCTCGGCCTGTCGTGAAAGGGAGCCGTACGTACCCACGAGGCTAGCAACGGATGTCGAGGATCTGGGCTTGTTCCTGTTGCGGCATGGCCGGATGACCGAGCTAGTTGCTTGCCTGAAGTTCTTCCACAGATAGTGCGGCGTAGGGTAAGAGTCTTGGAAACGATCCAAGAGATCTAGGAGGTTATTTAATTCGCGGGATAGCCGGACGGCTGGATTGGCATACCACTAATCGGCCAGCGCTCCCGGCTTCGACACCCACACATGCAAAGGCAAGAGCATCGTCAAGGTGTCAAGCTCTGCGAGCGATGAGTCCTACGCCGTTTATGCGCAAAGCTAACCCTAAGTGAACGCGAGTGGCGGTGATGATGAGTGGAAACAAGGCACGACGGCGTGCGACGCACCGCCAC